ACTCTGGGCAAGTCACTTCTCTGTGGTCTGTTTCCAAACTCTAAGTGGAGATGGGGCCACTTATCTGCCCCAGGCCTGGTGTAAGGGGGTGAAATGTCCCCCCGAGAATCTCGGGATGTGAGACCTTATTTGTAAACAGGGTCTCTGCAGACATAACGCGGCCACGAGCCAAGGAGGGCCTGGAGCCAGCTGAAGTGGGAAGAGACAAGGAGGATCCTTCCCTGAGAGACTCCGCAGGGAGTGCTGCCCTGTGGACACTGGATTTCCAGCGCTGGCCTCCAGAGCCCTGAGAGCATTGTTAAATAATTGTTGTTTCAAGCTACCCTGTGGTTCTTTCTCATGCGGCATCAAGAAGTAACGCACTTGGCTACTGGGAGGGTGGTGAGAAGGTGAGCAGGGCAGAGGGGCCAGGAGGGCCCAGCCACGTGGCCTTCCTGGGGTGCTGGGGGCGGGGCCTTGAGAAGCCCCACCCACTCCAGCTGACCAGCCGGACCACTCAGCAACTCCCCAGTCCCTGACAGGATCTAGGAGGATCCTTCCTGCCCCTTCCAGCTTCTGGTGGCTCCTGGTGTTCCTTGGTGTGTGGCAGCATCACTCTAACCTCTGCCTCATCTGCCCTGTGTCTCTGACGTCCTCTCTTCTTATAGGGACAACAGCCATTCAGTTCAGGGCCCACCCTAGAGCCAGGATGATTCTATCTAAAGATCCTTAACAATTACATCGTCAAAGACCCTATTTCCAAGTAAGGTCACATTCAGAGGCTGCAGGTGGGTGTGGATTTTGGGGGGATGCTAGTCACCAGCTGGGTGAGTACCCATGATGGCCCCCCGTGAGTAGCTTCAGCCTGCCAGAAAGACAGGGGCAGCACCCTGACGACCCCCCACCTGCACGACAGATGGGCCCCTCACTGCCTGCCACCCAGCCTTTGGCCACGTGTGCCCTCAGTCATCAGCACTTTCTCCGAGGGGACGCCTGAGGCTGACCCTGGCCTTGCTGCCCACAAGGTGACCTCGTGCTACATGTGTACATGTGAGCATCTGAGTGGGGGGCAGGCAGGGGTGTGTAGGGACAGCACAGGCTTTAGAGCCAGACTGGGTGGAAAGCATCTCTTCCCCAATCCTCATAGCTGGGACTTCAGAGAAGGTGACAGGTAGGCTGGACTAGGAGAGCTCAAAGTGCTCCACTCCAAGCAATGTGGAAGAGGCAGCCCATCACATCTCTGGACAGACTGGCTTCATTGAGCAGCTGTGCACCCTTGGGCAAGTTCCTTGACATCTCTGAGCCCCAAACTTTCCTCTGTAAATGGGGATAAACACCACCAATTTTGCAGGTATCATGAGCATGAGGCTTGAGGATTGAGGCAGGGATGTATTTCAGGCTCTGGACACCCAGGCTGCCACTGTCACCTGGTGATGGTGACAGATATAATCACTCACTGGAGATGGGTATGGTAGGCTGCGTAGGGGCGCGAGGGCTGCAGCGGGGACAGAGCCCCTGGGACCCAGCCTGGCCCTGAGCCTGTGCTCCCTGCACCGCACTTGGGTGCCTGTGCACAGCAGATGCTCTGTCGAGACTGGCCGAATGAATAAATGGATTCTTGTCCCAACTGTCGCCAGGAATTTTGGAGCCGGCATCCCAAGGGCAGCCAGCCCTCCCCAAGCTGGCCCCTGGCTGCCCCCCAAGTGATGACATCCAAGGGGGCGGGGCTTCCCTGGGCACAGCTGCAGCTCAGGCATGCTACACAGGAGCAAGCTCTGCTCAAAGGCTCAGACAGTGCCCACGCAGGACGCCGTCCCCGAGCCCCTGCCCACCACTCCTGTAAGAGCCTCCACGGTGCCTCCCGCAGACCGTGGGTCCTCAGAGACAGGCCTGGCTCCCCAGGGGCTGGGGAACAGGGAGGACACAAGGACCAGGAAACCCCTCAAAGCAGCGGCTCCCAGAGCTGTCCAGGGTCCTGGCCGGGCCGCGTCTGTTCACTCCCTTGGTGGCAAATGTTTGTCGAGCACCTCCTGGAATGGATGGGTCTCCCCCAGCCAGGCCAGCGATTTTGGTTTTTAACCTTTAACACCACATATGAATATACTGAGTGCGGCTCAGGCACGGCGCCAGGCACTTTCTCTTTGGGGTGATAGAAATGTTCTGGAATTGGACAGAGGTGGTGGTTGCACAACACTGTGAATGTACTAAATGCCACTGAGTTGTACACTTAAAAATGGTTAAGTGTATGTTATGTGAATTTCACCTCAATAAAAGCAAAACAGAACACCTGATCAAGGACGCCTGAAGCCCCTAGTCCCAATAGAATTTCTTCCGAAGTCTATAGAGAGCCAACAACCCAAGCCCTGGCCCATGCAGACATCCTCAGAGCCTTGCCCCTCTGAGGACATGAGACTGATGGGCCCAGGAACGTCCCGGAGCTTGTTGTTGGAGCTGGGACTGGGTGCTGTGGTGGCCAGAACGAGCCACGTGTCTGCCTTCCGAGGCCGAGCTGGGGCAGGGCTGGCTCGCAGGGGTCTTAGGACGCAGGAAACTTCCCAGTCAGTGGCTCCAGCAGGAACTGGGGGGCTCCCTGGTAAGGAGCCAAGGGCAGCAGCGACCTGGACACAGCCATTAGTCCTCAGACCAGTGACAGCACACACCAAGGACACAGGTGCAGGGCACCTGCACGTGGGATGTGCAGCAGACCAAGCCTGTCACCACGCCAGCCACCCCTCAGCCTTGAGGCCTGGCCAGGGGGAAGCTGACACCCAGCCCAGCCTGAGCAGGGAGCCCTAATGACCAGGCTCCTCAGCCTCCTCTCCAAGCATGCTAGTCCTTGTCACAGAAACACCTCTCCTGGTGACAGGTGGCTGGTTTCATCTTTCTATTTTAGCAGGAAAGCAGACGTGTGCACACACACTTGCTCACCTGGAAGGAGCACAGGGAAGACCCTGGAAGCTCAGAGCAGCAGAAAGGACTCCAGCTAGGCTCAGTCCAGCTGGGGGGACACTTGTCTGGCGGGCATCTCACGAAGGGCCGCGAGTGCTGACGCTTGTGCTCTGCAAGGCGGGAGATGTTTCCATCCCACCGCAATGCCAGCTAACAGGGCTCATCAAAAGACACTGCATGTGAAGGCCCCACGGACGGGGCCAGGGCTGCGCAGAGCAGCGGAAGGTCTGAGCATCACACAGGGTGACGCTTAACAGTTTACCAGCTACACTCATCGGAGGCATAAGGATAGACATTCAAAAGAAACCCCGGAACAGGGGTGGGATGGCAGGTGTTTTGAGGAGCCCAGAGTCAGAGGTGATTCTATGCTCCAGAAAAGCTTTGGGATCTCCTAGGGGCTGGAGGTCAGTCCTCCCAGACTCCGACCGTCCACCCCGGGAGCCCAGGTGGAGCTGACGGGCTGCCTGCCGCGGTCTGGGCTCACCCCAGCCTGGGCGGGGTAGAGGAGCCCTAGGACAAGCGGCAGCTTTGGCAGATCAGCCTGGTCCTTGAATGGGCTGAGCTATTTCCGGAGTGCTCCGAGATGGGGGGCTGATTTAAGCCTTTCTCTCTGCTCTCTAGAAATAATTAAGGGGTAAGTGGTTCAAGAGGGAACTGAATGGCCCTTCTGAAGCAGCTCACAGCAAACAGCCCCCCAGAGAGGCTGGGTTCACCTCCTATTCTCTTCTGAGCCAAGCCTCCCATGCAGGAGAGCCTGGCTGAGCCCTAGCAGCTTCCTCCAGCTCCCGCAGAAGGAAGCCATGGCTCCAGGCTGTGCTGGGAGCTCACAACTACCTCCCTTGACTTGGGTCGAAGGAAGGAGCCTGCCAGGCAATCGCAGCAAGGGGCTGCAGGGGAGGCAGGCCCCACTGGCTGGCAGGGACCGGAGGCACCGATACGCCCAGGGGAGCCAGCGCCAGGCCAGCAGCAGGCTCGTAATCAGTGTGGGAGGCCCCGAGACCCTCCACTTAGAAGAAGGCTGAGGGCTGGGCAAAGGGCCAGGCACTGAGGTTGGGTGGGAAGCTGGTGAGAGAGCAGGGACGGGGACCTCCGTAGAGCCAGGACCTCAGCGGGGACCCCGGCAAGTGGGAGCAGTGGTCGTGCCTGGCACCTGGGCCAGAAGCAACTGGATCCTGGGGCTCCTCCTTCTGTGTTCCAGGTTTGTCATACACTGAGTAGTGAGCCTGCCCATGTCCCCTGGGAGTGGGGAACAGTCTCTGGCAGGTTGCAGGAACCTGTCACCCTCAAACTCTGCTGTAACTCTGTCAATCACCTGCATGTCCCACACTGTGTGTACAGGCAGCCAGGGGAGTAAGGACAGGGTGGGCCTGGGAGTCGGGAGACAGGCTGTGTGTTCCCAAGCAAGTGACTTAACTTCTCTGGGCCTCCGGCTTTCCTCTCTGTCAAACGTTTTTTGTGTCCCTCTGCATTCCTATGCTGAAGCCCAATCCCTGAACTCGACGGTATTTTGAGACAGGGCCTTTGGGCGGTGAAAAGGGTTAGATGAGGTCACACAGGTGTGGCCCTCACAACCGGACTGGTGTCCTCCTAAGAAGAGGGAGATGCCAGAGCTCTCGCTCTGTCTGCCACGTGAGGACATAGGGACAAGGTGGCCACATGCGACCCATGAAGCAAGCCCTCACCAGGAGATCGCATCTGCCAGACCCCGGTCTGGGACTTTTGGCCCCGAGAACTGTGAGGAAACGAGCTCTTGTGGTATTTGTTGATGGCAGCCCCGAGCCGACGGGATGTGGGGACAGCATCTGCACCAGGGAGATGATGGGTGCTGAACACAAGTGTTAGCATTGTAGGCGCTGGGGACACAGTGCTGGTGAAGCAGTCTCCTGCCACAATCACCCACGGTGTGTCCCCATGTGCCTGGCATTGAGACTGGGTGCCAGGAGGCCAGCGCGGCTCAGACGTTTATCAGGAGACGCCGGGGCAGGCACTGGGCTGTGAAGGCCACAACTCCACCCCGACCCACACATGGACACCTGTGTGGCCGGCGTGGCCTGCCCTGGCCCAAGACCCACCTGTATCATGTACAGCTGAGCGATGCGGTACTCCTCCAAGGTCATCGGCAGAGGAATCCGATATTCCTTTATAATCATCTTGGAGTCCAGGCCTTCCCGTCGATGGGGAATCGTGAGTTGGGACTTCTAGGCGAGGTTCCTTAAATAACCATGACAAAGTTCACCAAGGACCCCTGAGAGAGAGAGAGGGGACAGGACGGTCACTCCCTGCAAAGGCTGGTGGGTCCGATAGCACAGAGGAAAGGCCCGGTCCAGACCCAAGGCTGGAATTCACTCCCTCGACTCTCCGGCCTCCACTTTCCTCGTGGGCTAAGAGCTGCCAGAAGGACAAGTGAGGGGCTGTGTGTAAACTCTCTAATCAACCAACAGCCATAGGGAAGCAAGAATTGTCCCCCTATTAGCAAGGGCCAGGGAAAGAGCACCAGGCTCTTGTTCTATTCACAGTCCTAACAAGCTCTGGCACCCGCTCCCAGCACACCTGTGACACAGCACCTAACGGTGGCTGGTCATGGGAGAGAGGGCAGATCAAATGAAACCAAGAAGAACGGATGCGAGACATTTACGAATCAACAGTCCGAGTCTGTCGGGGTCGGGGCCATCGCTCGTGTCACTGGGTGCAGACGGCGTCGCTGCATCCTGGCACAGGACTCTGAGTGATCTAAAGCTCGGTCTCAGTGCCACCCAACAATGCACAGGTACTGGCACCTATTGTATTCCTTACACTGGGCGAGGTCTGGCAGGTAAATGAACAAGAGAAGCAAACAGTGCACTCATGGGAACTTCTATTTAAGCTGACGACATATGGGATAAAGATTTGCACCTAAAGCAATCAAATTTAAAAAAACAAAAACCATAGTGCTTGAAGGAGGCATATTCTCAGTTATCTGGAAAACGAAATCACCCATTACAACCCAAGCCCCAGAAGGCTGAGGCTTTGCCATAAATATTATCTGGTCATCCCCAGAGGTCACATGCTGTTAACACGAAGCCGAGTGCAGGCTTCCAGGATGGGCAGCGGCAGAATCAGAATAGTATTTTAGAAAGACCACTCCAAGGACGGCAGGCAGGTGGCTTCCCTGGGGCGTGGATCTATATGAAGCGTTCGAGCATCCCCCAGCACTAAAGCATTATAGGGTATCTAACAAGATGGAGAAAAGCATATTTACCAGAAATCTCAGGAAGACAAGCATATAGGGTAGAAAAAATTCTTAAATGAGCCACTTAGGGAGAGCGACGGGGAGAGAGGTCATATAAAGGGGTCGGTGATGGCCCCTGTGTTGGCCTAAAACAGCCCCCTGCGGTTTCACTCCATGGCGTGTAGGAACCTTGGCCCAGACGGCGTCCAACTCAAATTCTCACATCCAACTGCTTTACATATGGTCCAAATGAACATCTTTTTAGCCAGTTAGAGCCTGTCTGCTTTATATGCTCCATGAAACTGCACCCAACATCTGCCAGCCACAGGTAAGACAAACCCTGGAGCCGTGAAAGACCCCAGACCACTGCTGCCCCCTGGAGCTCTCTGACCAGACACTCCTGGTCATGCTGCTGAGTGACGTCACCTGGACATACAAACCTCACCCTGGCTCCCCCTGCCACCAGGCAGCTCCCTCCCCCTCCTCCCCTCCTGGGGGTGGCCCCAGGCACCTCTGTATCTGGAAGGAACGGGCCTTCCTTCTCATGCCAACCAACGAAGCTCAGTGTTACTGTACTGCCTGTTCCCTGATCGACCCTGAAACTCCCCAATAGGTACATGATGATGCTCCACAAAGACAAGCCACTGGGTGAGCTGCAATCACACAAGTGGTGTCCATAGGCTCGACATGCAGGCAGAAGAGCAAGACAGAGAGGGGACACAGACCCAGAGGGCCCAGAGGCCCTTCAGCAGCTCCCACAACCCAAGTGGAGCTGGGCTAGCCAGGCTGACCAGGGGCGGCAGCCACATAACCGTTCTGAGGACCATCGGACAACACAAATGCTTAGGATGCTATTCCATCTAAGGCTGGGTTACAGAAAAACCACCACGTTTCTGCCCACGAGGAACTAAAGAGCTACGGGGATAAGCAGGTAGGCAGATGCACAGATAGGTAGAAGGAAGGAACAAACAAATAGAGATAAGTGCACAAGTGACTAATAGCAGGAGCGAGGATTCGGAGCTCTAGAGTGACACAGCATGTGACGGACAGGAGGTCACTCTGGGATGCGCTGCAGACCTGGCAATGCCTTTACCGGCCGTGAGTTCTCCCAGAAAAGTACCTGCTGATCCTCGGTCTGTCCCTATGGAAAGTGGGGATAAGCCCACCTGACTTCAGAGTCACGAGTGTCACTGAAACCAGTTCAGCCCCTCAATCTAGAGGGCCCTGGGGAAAGGCTTTGTGGAAGGTGAAGCTGGGGAGGTGAGAGGAGGATGCGCCCCAGCAGAAGGAAGCGGAAAAAGGACCCCAGGTAGGGACGTGCTCTCCTGCCGTGCCTGCCAGCACGGCCGCGACATCCTGGGGAGATGGGGCACAGTGTCCTGAGACAAGAATTTAGGGGCTTGGACGCCATGAAGTCTTCTTAAAAAAAAAAAAAAGAATTGCTTGATGTTGAAATCCAACTGATCAAAAGATAAATCAAACAAGGGCATTGCTGGAGAAATGCTGGTGGGTACTGAATTCATATTTTTGAGATATTTTGAAATCATGGCAATTACAGCTAGTGAAGAGAATATAAAAACCTCAACAACGTACACAAATAATAACATAACGAACAAAAACTTGGAGTGGAAGACCAGAGATGGAAACAGAATTTCCTCAACTTCCATGGGATAGAAGTTGGTTCATTAAATAGGTTAAAAAAAAAATTAATGAGGGACGAACAGGAGGAGCACGGAGGATTTTCAGGGCAATGAAACGGTTCTGTGCGATATCGCGATGCCGGGAACACGTCGTTACACGTCTGTCCAAACCCACAGGACGGACAACACCAAGAGTGAGCCCTAATACAACCTGTGGGCTCTGGGTGACAATGGGTGTCAATGGCAGTTCAGCAACGGTCACAGACGTCCCACTCTGGTGCGGGATTTTGCTCTGAGGGAGGCGGCACATGGGAACACTGTACCTTCCCTTCAAGTTTGCCGTGAACCTAAAACTGCTCTAAAAA